GAGCTTACAGTCAGTTGTTTAAAACCAAATGGTACTTGTTCTTTCTTATTTTTTCCTGATGTTAATAGTAATACATACTTGTTTTTAAAAATTGGTATCATTTAGAAATGTGTAAAGCCAGGGCACCTGGGTGGCTCAGTCTGTTAGGCGTCTGACTCTTGATTTCGGCTCAGGTCATGATCTCATGATTCATGAGTTCGAGCCCTCAGGTGGGCTCTGTGCCGACAGCATGGGGCCTGCTTGGGATTCTCTCTCTCCTTCTGTCTCTGCCGCTCCCTGATCTCTCTCTCAAAAACAAATATTAAAAACAAAAAGGAGAGAGAAAGGAATGTGTAAAACAAGATAATTTTCCCAGTGGTCCTTACATCCCCAAAGGCAACTATTATTAGCCATATCTTGATATGTTTAGACAAATTTTTCCATTTAAATATAACTGGTCCTGGTTTGATTCCTGTAACAAAGGCCAGAATAACAAGGCTTTAAACAAAACTGATGCTTATCTCTCAGTCACATAATGGTCTAGAAGCAGTCCAGAGCTAATAACTGTGATTCCACAGTGCTGGGGTCCCAGGTCCCTTTGCTACCATTGTTCTGTCATTCTCAACATGTAGTTTTTATCTAATGGTCTAAGATAGCTCCTCCGGATCTAGTTACTACATCCATACTGCAGCCAGTGAGACGGTGAGGAGAGTCCACTCCTTTGTCAAGTAACTGCTGGAGAAAGTTGTCTATATTACTTCTGCTCACACTCTATTGGATGGAACATAATCACATGACCACACTTATTTGCAAGGGACACCCTATTGGATGGAACATAATCACATGACCACACCTATTTGCAAGGGAGAGTGGGAAATGTAGTCTTTAACTGGCTTTAGTTGGGTGATGCTAAAAAACCCTAAAGGTCAGGTTTTTTGTTTTTGTTTTTTAAATAAAGGAAGCAGGGGAGAATGAGTATTGGGAGACAACTGGCAATCTCTGCTACAGAATATTTAAAAATACTATTTAAAAACATGTTTATTGGGGCGCCTGGGTGGCTTAGTCGGTTAAGCGTCCGACTTTCGCTTAGGGCATGATCTCGAGGTTCGTGGGTTCGAGCCCCGCGTCGGGCTCTGTGCTGACTGCCAGCTCAGAGCCTGGAGCCTGTTTCAGTCTGTGACTCCCTCTCTCTCTGAACCTCCCCTGCTCACGCTGTCTCTCTCTCCTAGAAATAAATAAAAATATTAAAAAAAAAAGTAAAAACATGTTTATTTCCAGAAACAAGGAATCTATACATATTTAACATCTCTCTTTAAATTATGAATTTGGAGTAAAAGATCACCAGATATTTGGGGAAAGCCTCTAGATGAAGATCAACATGAACAAATTAAGAAACCGAACTCAGGCAAAACAGAGGCAGACAATGGAAGGAGTAGAAGAAAATGTAAAAGCAGAAACAACCTGTAATTAATAGCACATCTATGACATGAGTTCAGGATGCTATCAGAAAAGAAACATTAAGAAACCAAAAAAAAAACCTCTTAGAAATTAAAAATATACTCATAGAAATAAAAGTTGAGAAAATGTCTCAGGAAACAGAACAATAACAACAAAAGGAAAAGAAAGAAAAAATAGAAGAGAAAATGTAAGAAAATTAGAAGAGCGATGTAGAAGATATATTAACTGACTGATAGATATTCCAGAAAGAGAGAACAAAGTAGATGAAAATCATCAAAACACAAGAGTTTTTCAGAACAGAACGGCACCAGTGATGAGTTTCTGCACACATACCGCTGCCCGGCGCAGCGGACAGCGAAAGCCCCGCACCAAAGCACGTCGTCGTAAAACATCGGACTACCAAGCCTGCAAAGAATGGGGAGGAAGACAAAACAAAAACAATACCGGCCCTCAAAAACCAGGTCAGCCACAAAGAAAACAGAATGTGAATGGCCTTCTCAATAGCAACCTGAGAAGTGAGAAAACAGTGAAGCCATACCTTCAGAGATCTAAGTGAACAGGCTCTCCAGCGACCCAGACGGTTCTTAACCAAACTGTCAATCAAATATGAGAGTAAAATAAACACACACACACAGACGCACAGTTGCAAGGATTTTATCTTTCTTCTTATTTTTTTAAATTTATTTCTAGGAGAGAGAGAGAGAGAGAGAGACAGCGTGAGCAGGGGAGGGTCAGAGAGAGAGGGAGTCACAGACTCTGAAACAGGCTCCAGGCTGCACTGGCAGTCAGCACAGAGCCCCACGCAGGGCTCGAACCCACGAACCGCGAGATCATGACCTAAGCGAAAGTCGGACGCTTAACCGACTAAGCCACCCAGGCGCCCCAACAAGGATTTTATCTTTCATGTGCTTTCAGGAAATTATGGGAGAATGTTCTCCACTAGAATGAAGAAGGACCTGAAGCAGAGCACATCTCAGGGTGCAGGAAGCAGGTCAGAGGACGGGGGTGATGGGTGATGGGACAGGGGGGACAGTGTCACCACGACGACACTCAGTAGACCCACAGAGCAAGCAGTGCAGGGTGGAACGACATGACAAAGTACTCCAGGAGAGAAGCACCCCCCAGACTGGCCATCCACACACTCAGTGATGTCTTTCACTGTTCTACTGGAGAGTTTGGTAAGGAATTTGCAATGGGTTGAGAGAAATGTAAGCAAATAAAAAACAGAGGCTGTAATTAACTAACCCCCCCCCAACCGTATAAAAATGGAATTATAGTATGCTACATAAACACTGACTTATCAAGAATGATCCATCATATAACCACATTGAAAGAATGTGAGCAGGGAAGATCATATTTTTGTTGAGGATACAAAATAGCCAGGCATCCCTTTCCATAATAGAAAATGAATACTTAATATCTAACACTGAAAAAAAAGAAACTCACAAAACAGCAGGACAAACTTACTTACAGTGGGAATTGGGAACTGCTTTTTAAAATTATAGGCCTTGTAAAACTACTGCTAAACAATGCACAATTATTTGTTTGATTAAAGAATTAGAAGTGATCAGGCTAACCATAATAAGAATAGAAATGGAATAGAATACCTTCCAAATGACATAAGGAAATATGGAAATAAAAACCAGTCATTCTGCACAATAAAATGGAGGTATGGTGGAGAACTGCCTTGGTGAATTGGTGGAGGACTATGGTGGTTAGTTCCGTACCCATTCATTCCAGTGTTCGACTGCGCCTTCCTGCATTTCAGAAGCTGGGATTCTGGATGTCACTTTGGGCTCTTCCAATCAGATTTTCTCTCTGATTTGATTTCTAAGGTGAAAGCGAACCAGGGCCTGGGTGTGTGCTGTTTCTGTCTGTGAGTACGGCTGGGGAGGTGTCTGATTTCTCGGCAGTGGCGTCTTATCAAGACAATAGCTGTAAGGGTTTGGCTATAGGGACAGCTTTCCAATTCAAGTCGGTAGCTTCCAGATTTCAGGCTCTTTTGGTGGCCTAGTTCTGCTCTCAGAGTCTCAGAGTGGCTCTCAATATCACTCCTGAATGTCCAACCTAGAATCTTCACCCTCCAGGGAAATCCTTAGGCCATTTTATACCCTATAGTAAATCCTTTTGTACTTAAAGTTTCTAAAATGAAATCTGTTCTCTGAAACTGAACCCAGAAAACATAACAGGAATGCAGACTATAAGAAGAAAAAGTATGGTCAATGCCACAAAATAAGTAGAAGAATTCAGTTATAATTAAAATCAATCCAGTCATAATTAATAAAACAAGTTAAACTCTAGCTAGTAGAGATACAGTCTAGTACTAAAAATTCTAAACAATCCGGCTGGCTATATGCTCCGAGACATGAAAAATCGAGATACTACCACACAACAGTTAAACAGAAATGAATGTCAAAAACATAATAGGAAACGACAAAGGTTGCAAAAGACTATTCAGCATGATGCCATTTTTAAAAATTAAAAAACAGAAATTGGTACTCAGTGCGGTTGGCAGGTCCGCGTATCATACGTAATAAAACTATAAAAACACGAGTAGAATGATACGCACGACATGACCAGGGAGGAAAGAGAAAGAATGAGGGTGGGGCCTTCGTTAGAGCTAAATTTATATTTCTTTCACGAATACCAAGTAAGCGGAGCGAAACGTGTTACGTTTAATCTCGAGTGGGGGGTGGGGGGGACGTGGGTGTCAATACTGTTTTCTGCACGCGCCCGCACGTCTCCGGTGCAGCCTGGTTGACAAAACACAGCCCCGCTCGCAGCGCTGCCCGGGCCAGCCTTCTGCAGGCGACGTCGCGGCGGAGCAGTCGCGGACGGCGGAGTGGGGACAGCGGGGAGGCCGGCACCTGGCTGCAGCCGGGGGTGGGGGGTCGAGAGGGGCCTCGGCGAGAGCCCGGAAGAGGGGCGCGGAGCCCGCACGGGGCGAGGACGGCGGCTCCAGGGTGCGCACCCCGCCAGGTGGCCGGGCCAGCGGGGATGCAGTCGGCGGCCGTCCCTGCGCGCGCCCGGGCGGACCGCGAGCGCAGCCCACGGAGGGCGGGCGTAGGCCCCGCGGCGCCGGAGCCGCCGGAGGGGACGCTCCGGCTCCGGGCGCCCAGGCGTCACCCCGGCGGCGGGGGTGGGGGGGGTGGGGGAGGCAAAGCGGCGGAACCGGGCGGGCAGGGGGGGGCAAAGGGTGCTGGAAGCGGGCTCCCAAATCGTAACGCGACCCCCGAGGCCAGGATGCCCCCCTCCCCCCGCGCGGCGGCCCGCCGGTCACGCCGCCGCTCGCACGCGCCGGCGCCGGCGCGCTTTGCAGCCGGGGTTCGGTCCGGGGCTCCGCGCGCCCGGGCCCGGCCGGGAGCGCCGGCTGCAGCGCCCGGGCGGCGGGGCGGCGGGGCGGCGGGGCGGCGGGCCCGGGGCCGGGCGGCGGGCGGGCCGCGGCGAGGGCGGGGCCGGCCGCGCGGGGGCGGACCTCGGCGCGCTCCCGGCCGCTCGCCGCCTGCGGGGCCGCGGCGGCTCCTCTGCCGGGTCGCGCCGGAGGACGGGCCTTCGGGCGGCTGCTCGGGCGGCCTGCGGACGGACGCGCGGGCCGAGGCGCCGGCCCCGCGCCCGCCGTCTCCCCCCCCCACCCCCTCCCGCCGGGTCCCGGGCCCGCGCCATGGCCGCCTCGCCGGGCTCCGGCAGCGCCAACCCGCGGAAGTTCAGTGAGAAGATCGCGCTGCACACGCAGCGGCAGGCCGAGGAGACGCGGGCCTTCGAGCAGCTCATGACCGACCTCACCCTGTCGCGGGTGAGGGCCCCGGGGCCCGGGGGGGGGGGGCGGCGCGGCCGCGGCCTCGGCGCTTCTCGCGCCCGCCGGCCCCTGGCGCGGCCCCGCGGAGGCGGGAGGGCGGCGGCGCGAGGGCGGCCTGAGGGGGAGGGCGGACGGAGCCCCGGGAGGAAATCGCCAACGGCTCGGAGGCGGCGGCGCGGCTTCGCGGGGCTCCGCACATCCTCCGCCAGGCAGCCCTGGTGGCCGGCGGGGGCGGGGAGGGCCGCGGGGCCGGGGGCCGGGTGCGGGGAGCCGCAGGGGGGGGGGCTGGGGGGGGAGGCTCGCGTCGGGGGCTCACGGGGGGTGTGTGTGTGTGGGCGCACCGCGTGCCGAGTGAGGCTCCCCTCTGCCCCCCGTGGAGGCGCCGCCTCGGGCCGCTGTGCCGCGCTCAGCCCGGATGTGCTCGGAGGACCGGCAAGGTGCACGGCGTCGCTGGTGACGGAGGAGGGTCCAGGCGGAATGAGTAAGGCGCGGGCCGCGACAAACACCCGGAGGTTGGGAAACCGTGGAGTGAGGCAGTGGAGGATGGAGAGCCAAGGGGAGTGTCCGCGCAGGGCCGCGGGGAGGAGGGTCAGCGGGAGCCGGCCAGGCCTTGAGGCTCCCGAATGCTGACCTTGAAGGATCATCGCGAGCGGCGGGGAGGATCCGCGGATGCGGGGCGGGGGGCGGGCTGGCGGCGCAGCTGAGGGCCGAGCGGCTGCGCTGCGGGTCCCCGCTCGCTTCAAGCGGCTGCAGACACGTTGTTCTTTTGGCCAGTACACTGTTTGGGAAAACTTGTTGAATCTGTTGCCAGAACTTTTTTTTTTTTTTTTAATTTTTATTTATTTCTAGGAGGGAGAGAGAGAGACAGCGTGAGCAGGGGAGGGTCAGAGAGAGAGGGAGGCACAGACTGAAACAGGCTCCAGGCTCTGAGCTGGCAGTCAGCACAGAGCCCGACGCGGGGCTCGAACCCACGAACCGCGAGATCATGACCTAAGCGAAAGTCGGACGCTTAAGTGACTAAGCCACCCAGGCGCCCCTGTTACCAGAACTTTTTAATTGGGAGATTTTCATATAAAATAAATCCTTCTTTTTTTTTTCTTGCTCTTCCTTTTTTCCCCTTCCTTTCTCTCCTTTTTTTCTCTTTTTTTTCCTTTTCTTCCTCTTCCTTTCTCTCTTTTTCTTCTTTCAAAGAACCTTCCTTTTTTCCCTCTTTCTTTTTCTCTTTCTTTTTTTTCTTTTCCTTCTTCTCTCCCGTCTTCCCTCCTTCCCCAGTCCCCTTCTCCTTTTCTTCTTTCCATTCCTATATGTTTCTATTTCTATTTTTTTAAATTTCTTTTTTATTTTTGAGAGTGAGAGAGACAGAGCATGAGTAGGGGAAGGGCAGAGAGAGAGGGAGACACAGAATCCAGAGCAGGCTGCAGGCTCTGAGCTGTCAGCACAGAGCCCAACACAGGGTTCGAACTCACCCACCGTGAGATCATGAGCTGAAGTTGGATGCTTAACAGACAGAGCCACCCAGGCGCCCTTCTATCTCTATTCCTGTATTTAAAGTTAGGAGAGCTGGAAGCGGCCATCCTGAATCCCCATATGACAGCTGCCAGCTGGAGCTGGGCGGTGGTTGCCCCTCAACGAGCTGGGCTTCCCCAGTTGGTCAGGTTCACACCACACCCCGTCATGAGCTCCCACGCCAAAGCTAGGTGTTGTTTGCCACGTATATTTTTGATGGTGTTTTCTTTTCATGAAGTGAAAGGGAAATGAAATATTTCTTACATTTTTATGCTAAGAAAAATACACAGAGAGAGAAAGAAGGCCGAGGATTTCAGTAAATTTTTTTCTCATGCCCTGACTGGCTTCCCTCATTTATTACCCGCCTGGTTTCCACAGGCACATACATGTGTGACCTTGGTTAGACCCAGGGATGGGCTGATGAGCTGAGAGCACATGGAGAATGGTTGGGTGAAAGCTGAGGCTTAATACTGTTGTGTGTTGTTCAGATCCAGAGTGTGTGTGTACAGATACATGCACTCTGCATGTCCGTGTAGCTGGGGTTGATCCAATCTCTCATCCGGTTCATGAATCCTCTTTTTTATTTTTATTTAAAAATTTTTTGTGTTTTTATTTGTTTCTGAGAGAGAGACATGGCGTGAGCAGGGGAGGGTCAGAGAGAGAGGGAGACACAGAATCTGAAACAGGCTCCAGGCTCTGAGCTGTCAGCACAGAGCCCAATGCGGGGCTTGAACCCACGAACCGTGATATCATGACCTGAGCCGAAGTCAGATGGTTAACCGACTGGGCCACCCAGGTGCCCCCATGAATCCTCTTTAAAGCATTCCTGATAGGAGCGCCTGGCTGGCTCAGTTGGCGGAGACTGCGACTCTTGAACTCAGTGTTGTTAGTTCTGGCCTCACGTTGGGTGTAGAGATTACTTTTAAAAAATAATAATAATAAAAATAAAGGATTCCTGATAAATGAAGCCATGAGTAATATGTAGACTCTTTTTGTTTGTTTGTTTGTTTTTAATGTTTTATTTATTTCTAGGAGAGTGAGAGAGAGGCAGCGTGAGCAGGGGAGATTCAGAGAGAGAGGGAGTCACAGACTGAAACAGGCTCCAGGCTCTGAGCCGGCAGTCAGCACAGAGCCCAACGCAGGGCTCGAACCCACGAACCGCGAGATCATGACCTAAGCGAAAGTCAGACGCTTAAGTGACTAAGCCACCCAGGCGCCCCTGTTTGTTTGTTTTTTTAAGTTTATGTATTTATTTTGAGAGAGAATGCATGTGCAAGAGCAGGGGAGAGGCAGAGAGAGACTGAGAGAGAGAATCCTAAGTAGGCTCCTTGCTCTCAGCGCAAACCAGACCGTGAGATCATGACCTGAGCTGAAACCAGGAGTCGGTCAACCAGCTGAGCCACCAAGGCGTCCCTGTATGGACGTTTTAAGGCAGATTTTTTTTTCACAGATCCTCAATGTTCATTTAAATGAGTTTGGTTATGTTACGTAAGTATATTTAAACACAAACTTGTACATAAAGCTCTTTGATTATAGCTGTGGTTTAACCATAACTAAGAGACATGGACAAAATAAATTCACTCGATATTAAAAATGCAGTAAATTCAAATTAACATCATTAATTTGATGTGACAAATGCTAATTTGCTGAACTTAGTTAAAGCTCCCAGTATGAATATGATGCTAACCCCTAACAGTTCAGATTTTCTTGGGTTTAGCAAGGCTGATCAGGTGTGCCCATTGGGATACCCAGTTCACCCACCTCTTTTCCCTGTTCTGATCACTACAGAATTATGTCACTTTGCCCTTTACCTGGGACAGTACATCATTTACATGTTAGTTCCTCCTGTGTTCTTTCTCTGGTACCAGTTTTCAGGGAAAGTAATACTACTTGGGTCCACTGTGTTTATTTTTTTAATATATATTAAAAATTTTTCAAAAGTAATTTCTATGCCAACCTGGGGCTTGACCTCACAAACCGGAGATCAAGAGTTGCATGTTCTACAAACAGCTAGTGAGGTGTCCCAGGTCCGATGTGTTTATTAACACAAAGGCAAATGATAACACTGAATTTGCCAATTGATATTTGCTTATTTAAAAATTTTAAGGATTATTTTCATAGTGAAATTTATAAAACTAGACACTTCTCATAGAGAACTCTTAGATTCCCCAGGCGTATATCTGTAAACCTCTAAGGGCCCAAAGATCCCAGATGGGGAAGAATCCATCTAGTTCGTATTGGTCACTGGATGGCAGATATACTGACTTTCCATTATCAGCGCATGGCAGACATCAGTAGTGAATCTAGGTATCCTCTCCTCTCTGAACCTGTGTTGGGCTCCAAGGCATTCTCTGCATTATCAGAGCCAGTCCTTCGAGTTGGCGTTAAATCCTGTTTGCCTAGTAGGTGGGATAGACTAGATTATGGAGAACATTTCACTGTAACTGGGGGCTCAGCCTTATTAGGAAGCAGTGGGACTATTTGGAGAGGAGAATGCTATAGGAGGATTACTTTCGTGGTGGTCCTTGGGATGGTACGAAGGATTAAAACGCGGAGGCAGGTATGCCTGGAAAGAGGCTATTCCTTTGTCCATTCATTCATTGGTCAGTACTGGAGTCCCCACCACGGTTAATGGGGTGGGGGATGGAGGTGAAGACTTGGCGCTTTGCTTCAAAAATCTTATTAATTTGTTCATCAAGTGCTTATTGCATCCCTCGTGTGTGTCGGGGTTTAGGATGGACGCTGGGCATATAGTAGCGAGCAAGCAAAACAGTCTCCTTGTGGATTTTCGGGATTAATGGAGAAGATGTTCCTCTGACAAGTCAGGACACGTTTTGGTGAATACTGCGGGAGGGGAAGCAGGTGTAGCTCTGGGAGCGGATGGTAGGGCGTCCTTCCCCCCTCTAGTGGCCTAAGAGATTAGTGGGGTGGGGAAGCCATTTGAGGTATGTGCTTGTGTGTTGAGGGAGGGAGAATGTTTCAGGTGTAGGGAACAGAGGCTCAGCCAGGGGACAGAGATGGTGATTTGAGATGAGGCGTTCACAGGGACCAGCTTGTGGAGACAGGATTTGGGACTTGATACTAAGGACAGTGGCAAGTCAAGGAAGGGGTTGAAGTAGAGGCGATTTGTGATGCCTCTGGCTCCAGAGTGGTGGATAGAACAGAGGAGAAGGTGGCAGAGAAAGCATTTGGAGGTCGTGATGGCCCAGGAGGTGTGAGGATGGCCTTGACACTAGGGAGGAGCAAGAGGGAGGCAGAGAGGTGAACAGATCGATACTTAGGAGCTGGAAATGATGAGACATGGCGGGTGGTTGATCCCCAGCTTTCAGACTTGAGCCATTTCAGCGTATCCTCTATAAAGGGGGGCATGGGAGCGAGCGAGGTGGGGGCAGAGGCTTCAGGGTCAGGAGGCGGTGAGGGTGAGGTGCCTGCGAGGCACGGAGGTAGAGCCGGGCCGGCAGGCAGTTGTTCACATGGTCCTGAAGCCACAT